AGTAGATATCCAAGTGGATAGGTAGTTGTGTAATGAAGTTTAGAAATCAGGGAAAATATCTAGTCAAGGAATAGTCAGTTACAAATGGCAATTAAAGGCACAAGGCTGTATGGAATAAAGTAGGGATTGTATATAGAGAGAAAACTCGAGGAGGGCATGGCAACCCACTCCAGTATTCTTGCCTGGAGAATCTTATAGATAGAGGAGACTGGTAGGCTTCTGTCCATAGGGTCGCAAAGAGTCAGACATGACTGAAGTGACTTAGCGCATATGTATATAGAGAAAAAGTTCCAAAATTAAGAGCTCAGGCTGACTCCAGCATTTACAAATCAGTTGTGGAAGACAGAAGATATTAGGGAAGATCAAGGATGAGACTGAAAACAGGTTGACAATCAGATGAGTAGGGTACCTTGGAAGTTGAATGGGAGAAGTGTCATGGAGTTCTTTTCCTGTGGGTTCTCAGACTTTGAATAGAATCAGCCTGATGGTTCTGTGAGATCTCAAGAATTTCATCTTATAGGGATTTCTGTCTCTCCCCCACAAAATTCCAAATTAAATCTCACACTCACTCCATGTGATGGTCTGTTCTGCTGCCCCTGGCATGAACCAGGTGCTAAGTCACTGTAGTCATGTCTGACTCCTTGCCACCCTATGGATTATAGCCCGTTAGGCTCCCCTGTCCATGGGGTTTTCCAGGTAAGAATACTGGAGTGGGTTGCCATTTCTTTCTCCAGGGGAACTTCCTGATCCACGGATCGAACCCGAGTCTCTTACGTCTCCTGCATTGGGAGGCGGGTTCTTTAACACTAGTGCCACCATGGCCAGAGCTGCAGTGTAACTGGAGACCAGAAGGCCTTGTTTCTCACCCCAGCTTCGTCTTTTACTACCAACTGTGACCCTGGACAGCTTGGTTTATCCCCTTGTAAAATGGTCAGAGCTATGCCTCCCTGCCCTATCCAGAGACTAATGAAGTGATCCAAGGAGCTAATAAAAGACAAAGCACTCTATAGATTGTTGAAGCATAGTCTTCAGAAGGTGTTACTGTTGACAGAGGTCCAGAGGATCAGTGTTTCCCACTGTGCGGTGGTGTGTGTGCTTGATCATGGCCTACTCTCTGCAACCTTGTGGTCTGTAGCCTATCAGACTCTTCTGTCCATGGGATCCTCCAGGCAAAAATACTGGAATGGGACCCCCTACTCCAGGGGATCTTCCAGACCTAGGGATTGAATCTGTGTCTCCTGCATCTCCTGCATTGGCAGGCTGATTCTTTTTTTTTTTTTTTTCATTTATTTTTATTAGTTGGAGGCTAATTACTTTACAATATTGTAGTGGGTTTTGTCATACATTGACATGAATCAGCCATGGATTTACATGTATTTCCCATCCTAATCCCCCCTCCCACCTCCCTCTCTACCCGCTCCCTCTGGGTCTTCCCAGTGCACCAGGCCCGAGCACTTGTCTCATGCATCCAACCTGGGCTGGTGATCTGTTTCACTATAGATAATAAACATGTTTCAATGCTGTTCTCTCGAAACATCCCACCATCACCTTCTCCCACAGAGTCCAAAAGTCTGTTCTGTACATCTGTGTCTCTTTTTCTGTTTTGCATATAGGGTTATCTTACCACCTTTCTAAATCCCATATATATGTGTTAGTATGCTGTAATGTTCTTTATCTTTCTGGCTTACTTCACTCTGTATAATGGGCTCCAGTTTCATCCATTCTTTACCACTGAGCCACTGGGAAGGCCTGGGAGAACCCAAACTTTTGGTTGGAAGATGCTGAGGGAATCATGGGACATGCTTCTGTCTGATGCATTCTTTCAAAAGTTATTTCTCAGTAGGATATGTATTCTTCTTAAAAATTTTTATTGGGCTATAGTTGTTTCACAATTTTGTGTTAGTTTCTGCTGCACAACGAAGTCAATCAGTCATATGTGTACATATATGTGTACATATATATGTACAGTCATATGTGTACATATATGCCCTCTCTCTTGGACCTTCCTGCCACCTCCCCATCCCACCCATGTAGCTCATCACAAAGCAGTGAGCTAAGTTGCCTATGCTATATAGCAACTACTCTCTAAAAATATTCTTTTCAAATATACTGACATCTAGAATTTTATAATTAATATAATTCCTTACATTTCAAAGAAATTCTTCACTGTGGTAGGCCATAATCTATGATAAATTTATATAGTGCTTTCCTAAACTAAAACCAATGTCTTTAAATACATTATAGTCCTGTAACTGCTTTTAATCCCTTTAATGTAGTATGGAAAAACAAAAGAGACTAAATCAATCAGTGACATTTTCAATGCAAGGTGTTTCATGCATTTTTATTTTTCAATTTTGTTTTTTCCAGTTTCCAACAAAAAATAAATAAAAATTAATAATATCCTGTGAAGTATCTATAGTCTCCTTCAATATCTTAAGGTACACAATTATCAAAGCTGATATTGAACACAAACAAATTGATACAATTCAGTACTCTGATAAAATTCATTGTCAAATAAGTTACTTTAAACTGCATGTGATACAACTTTATGTTCTATAGCATCTTTAATATAAACTGTATACCAAAATGGCTTTTCAAACTTAAAAAGTGCAATTACAGAGTGCAAAAAAAGCAGAGAGAAATTCATTTTCTTACATTTAATCTCATCCAACTTGAATAACAGGCATGTTTTAGATAAAATTATTCGTCAGTCAAAACATTAAATTTTACTCAAGCAACACTGTTTATATAAAAGCTGTGACTCCCCGTTTTCCCATATGAATAAGAGTAGAAAGAAATAAGAAAGTATTGGGCAGCAAGTTAAACACATTTTTTCCCAAAAGTCTACATACTGACTGCTGCAGCAAAAATGGCAAAATGAATCAGACATGAGTTTTTAAAAACTGATTACTGAATTCAACAGAAATTAGAAGCTAGTATCATGTATTTGGTACATAGAAATTGATCTGACACCTCAGAGCAGTTGAATTTAACTACTCCTCTTTCAGGACTCAAAAATAAAAATCTGTCCTCCCAATGCACCATCTGTCTCCTTGCTTTGACTTCGGCAGAGAGATAAGAACAAAGAATTCCAAAAGAACAGTGGCATTTGATTGTATTTTAAATATTTAATATATCACACCAATCTTGATTGTGAGGTTACATCTTTAGCATTAATCTTAGAACCTCTTTGGTTACAGAGTATGTCTACTGGGTTACTGTGTGGTCTTGGTGGGAAGCCACAATCCAGGTATTCATGCATTGGTTTGCATTTAGTCTCAATACATTAGATATAGATGGATCTTTCTAGAAATATATATAGTGAGAAATTTGTAAAATAAGGAAGTCAGACTAAATATGAGCCAAATTTTTTTCATTGTTTGTAAGAAACATGAGCTAATAGCAATGGTTTTTTAATGTTTGCTCAGCATTATCTTCACTAAAACATTTTTAAATTAATTTTCACCCATAAAAGCAATCTGTGTCCTATCTTTTTTATTATTTAATATCAAATTATAAATAAAAATTTAACTTTTACAGGGGCTAGTTTTTAATCTTTATTTAATCCTTTATTTAGGGATGCTTAAATAAAGATTTAACATCCCAAACCACTTACAATTAATTATGTAATATGAATTGAAATGCTCAGGATAAACCAATATGACTCCCTTTTGTAACAAAATAAATGGATTTCAGAAGATTTCTTGGTTTGTCAATAAATTTTTTTTTAAGCAATCAATATCACTCAAAATAAGCAGACCTCCCTTACATACAGTAGATGTCAATAAGGATGTGTAGGATTTAAAACATATTTTTACACAGCACATTTGATTTCAGCTATATTACTGGGAAACAAATATGCTTTTAGATCTGTTTAGACAATATATAGAATAACTGTCTTATATTATACTTTAACACTTAGTCCATCAAATTTCGGACTCTGATTTAATTGTAGAATTCTTTAGCAAAGTTCATATAGAAATAAATACTCTTCAAATAAGAAGCACAAATTTTGGCTTCATGTGTGGATTTTTTTTACTCGTTCATGAGCAACAGTTACCTAGCATAAATGTTGTACTGAAAAAAAAAAAAGAACATTGTGAAGCTATACATAAAATTACATAAAAGATGGTAAAAGTTTTCTCAATTCATTTTCTTAAGAAAAATCTATTAGATCAGCAGTCCCCAATCTTTTTGGCTCCAGGGACTGGTTTTGTGGAGGACAATTTTTCCATGCACCAGGGAGAAGTGAGTGATGGGGAGAGGCTGTAAATACAGATGAAGCTTTGCTTGCTTGCCTGCCACTCACCTCCTGATGTGTGGCCCATTTCTAACCAGCTGTAGACTGGGAGCAGTCTGTGGCCGGGGGTTGGGGACCCCTGTGTTAGATGGATGACTAATATCCATAGGAGCTGTGAATGGGCATAGAGAATTGTGCACATTCCTTCCAGGCAGTAAACAGTGAGGATATGTGAGCGGAGGGAGCAGAGGGTGTAGTGTTTAGCCCAAGATCTATATTTGCTTCTCCCCAATTCCTATAGCATTACTGTTTCAATACATGGCAGAATGGTGTCAACTCAAACACCATACAGTCAAACCAATTATCATTGATTCGAGGAGTAGAAAAATATATTAAATTGGTTTGACTATATTCTAGGCTTATAGAAATCTGTCACGTGCTGACACTTTCTAAACAATGAACTGGGCATTGCTCACTCCTATGCACTGTACACCAGGCAAAAAGTTTTCAGTAAAGCATTTAGCCCAGAAAAGGACTTCTTACAAAAATATCCACTTTCCTTTTATATTAAATATTTTGTGTACATTACACATTAGCAATCTGTTAAAAATAAAACAAAAATAAAAACTTTTCTTAGTATATTAAAAAATACATCATTGTTGACTTAACATATGACCCCACATAAATATTATTAATAAAATAGGAATATTAACATAACCAGGCATGCAGTGCATCCTGCCCATAAGCTTAATGGCACCATTCAGACTTGCGGCAATGCCGGATCCCCTGACGTCACTCTTTCATATTCCTTCTTTGGTTCTTTACTTTTTTGATTTCTATACCTAGAAATATTCAGAAATGAAATCATTAGCACTGTAGTTAACAGTAATAAGAACAAAGTATGCTAACAAAAGAAACAAATATTTGGACTCTAAAGGTATTTCAGCATGGTGCTTCCAAAATGACACAGGTAACCAGGTTTAGGCTGAAGGTGAGAAAAAAGGGAGGGAGCGAGTAGTTTCCCTCAACAAATAATTTTGGGAGGAAATGGTGAAATGCAGTTAAAGAACTTCTCAGAGGCTTTCAGATGGTCATGAAAATTGTAAAACTCCAGGAGAGCACGTGACCACATTTAATCCTGGACTGTTATCATTTTTTTTCTTTTTCTCTGTCTTCCCTTCCCTTTTCCTTCTTTCTTTCCTCATTACAAATAAGAAAAAAAGTACAAATACTTTGAATATCACTATTATATTCTACCTATAACGTTGATGTAATGTTATCACCAATAAAAATAAAAATAACTAATATGTATCAGGCAATCACTATGTGACTGACAATGTTTCAAGTGCTATATATTCATTATTTATTTTATCTTTACACTTAGCATTATCATCCTCATTTTACAGATGAAAAAAGTAAAATACAAATGGATTGCATAACCTGGCAAGTTCTCCTAGCTAGGATTCATAAATCTAGTGGTTCAGAATCTTCATTCACTCATTCATTAAAGCTATCTACCTAATATTTTGAGTTCGTTTTCTACCCATTTTGAAGATGAATCATGTAGACTTAAGGAAACTGCATAATGTTTTTACTTAGTTGAAAAACACAATTAGCAAAACCTTTGTTTAGCCTTGATCTGGCTACTTGTCAACTAGACAAGCCAGGGCATGTCAAGTCACCTCTCTGGGTCTCACTTTCTCATCTTTCTAAAAGAAACGATTGTAGTTAAAGACCTTTCAAGTGTGTTTCACTTGTAATAATGTTCAGTTATGTGATCATAACTAAAAAGTATTATAATTTGATGAATACTTAGAAGTAAACAAAGACCAAATAAATTTAATCTTGTAAAAGTAACATTTTTGGAGCTTCAAAAGTAGAAGTGCATTATTTTCAGCAAAAATAAAGTAAAATTCACTCGAATGTACACTGAAAAATCTGTAGCCCTTCCAAAATAAGAAGGATTTCATGGAGACATGTTAAAGGCAGCTACAATTAAGCAGGGCTTTCCAGGTGGCACGGTGGTAAAGAGCCAGCCTGCCAATGCAGGAGATGCAAGAGACTCAGCTTTGATTCCTGGATCAGGATGTTCCTTTGCAGTAGGAAGTGACAACCCACTCCAGTATTCTTGCATGGAAAAGTCCATGGACAGAGGAGCCTGGCAAGCTACAGTCTATGGGGTCGCAAACAGTTGGATATGACTGAGCACACACACTATTTAAGTCATACTATTCCTGATCCTAACCTTAAAAAACAATATGATATACTGTCAAAAGTTTCAATGCCCATTCAGTTATCAGCATATATCAGTACAGCACAGTACACGAATATAGAGTGTTGAAGATGGAATTTTAAGGGATCGGCATGAACCAATTTTTAAAAGTAAGCTCTTACAATTATCTGGACACTCGTTTTTACTAGTCTGCCTTAAATTTTAAGATCCTAAGCCTCTAGGGTTATTAATTTATAAAATATATTTTATGAAATACAAACTTTGATCTAATAAAATAAATACAAGTAGCTAAATTAAACACTGGCATGATGCCTTATGATTTACTTTTGCATGTGTTATACTCAATACTGATAGTACTCCTGTCATTAATGTAGAATAAGGATTTCTATTTGTATTTTATAAAGGAAGGAACTGATACTCTTAGTTTAAGTTGTATAAGGTCACAGAGGTAATAAATAACAGAGCTCAAAACAGAGTCAAGTCCAGATGCTTTGCTGCTGAAACTTCCTGAAAAATATCTTTAGTGCAGAGTCTGTCTTTTCCCACTAAATAATACTTTGCCATGTTTTTACCCACGTTGTGTGTCTTGTATAAAGGTAATTTACAAAAGCAGAGTGTTAAAAAACAAAAACACTGGCTTACCATCTGCAGAAATAGTATATGGAACCAGCAACTATGACAAGGAACAAGATAACAAGAATCACGGTCAAAGCCACATATTCTTTGCTCAGAGGTTTTTGGACGGTTAAAAAGAAATGCTCACACCGGACACCAGTGTAACCTACTTCACACCTAAAGAACAATGGAAGAGAAAGATCAATTATTTTGAAAAGAAATCTTTGTTCTGAATTAGTTTCACAAGAGGTCATCTCACACTATAATGCAAGATATCAACAAGGTCTGCCAAAAGTTGTAAAGATGAATTCAAAGACTGACCTGAAAGCTGGCCCAACCTTGATAAAAGAGCCCCATGAAGCTCTCAAATCATAACTGTTGTATTAAAATGATAGTCTGATTCAGCTGCCAATGTGGCTGACAATGGTGTTTTGTAAGTTGTGTGGTTTTGTGGTGCTTTTTGTCTAAATCAGTGGAGTCAATGCTTGTAACAATAACTGACATATAAGTCCAGTGAAAAGATTAAAAGGTGACCTGCTATTGTGGTAAATGTGAGAGGAAGATATCTGAAGCCCTCCCCATTCCACACCCCTGAAGTATCTGTATAATCTGACAAGTACCATTTCTTCTGCTATTTGTTCCCCAACTTAAAAGAAGGTGGCACTAGTGGTAAAGAACCCGTCTGCCAATGCAGGAGGCATAAGAGAGCCGGGTTCGATCCCTGGGTCGGGAAGATCCCCTGGAGAAGGGATGGCTACCCACTCTGGTATTCTTGCCTAGAGAATCCCACGGACAGAGGAGCCTGGTGGGCTACAGTCCATAGGGTTGCTAAGAGTCAGACACAACTGAAGTGACTTAGCACACACAGCACAACTTAAAAGAAAAACTCTATATTAAGTTTCTAATAGTAAATATAAATTGCATGCTAATAGTACTAAAAACTACAGGCCATGGAAATAATAGAGTAATTATTAAGAAGATAAAAAAAAGAGACAATGTGGGTTTTTAAAAAATTGTTTGTTTGTGTTTGGCACATTACCTGCAGTAATTTTCACTCATGTCTACCAGGTAGATGCACTGTCCGTGCAAACAGTAGCCATTCATATCAGCACTACACTTTGTTATTGACACTTGAGCCACACGTGGATTATCTTCAGTTTGAACTGTGAAAGAAATGGAAAGTAGAATGTATTCTGTTATTTTCTCTGAAACAGTAATCAGCCTTTCATAATAGTAACCACTCTCAGGCATTTGTGGACAAAATGTCACTTTAGTTATCATACTCTCTAGACCAATAAGCAAAACACTGGATTCCCAAAGGAAAATGTCCAGAGGACTAAACAAAACAAAATAAAAACTGGGAATAAAATTCTCAAAAGACAACGTTTAAGGATAGAAAAGGTAAGTTGAAGGCGCACACGAAAAATCAAAATACTTTACGGCTATTCACTTATCCAAATAAGGTTGCCTAATTTTTTCAAATAATTCTGACATTTGCAAGCTGAATCCATTAATTAATTTAAGACAGCTTAAATCTATAGCAGGCTTTAAGCCAATAAGGCTTGTTTTGGTGTGCATTCTCTGGTAGCTCAGTTGGTAAAGGATCCGCCTGCAATGCAGGAGACTAGGGTTTGATCCCTGGGTCAGGAAGATCCCCTGGAGAAGGAAATGGCAACCCACTCCAGTATTCTTGCCTGGAAAATCCCATGGAAGAATCTGACAGGCTACGGTCCATTGGGTCAAAAGAATCAGACATGACTTATGACTAAACCACCATCCCAAACCTAAAATCAATCAAAGTCTCTAATGATAAGACCTGAACATGAACTAAACAAACACTGACTTATAAATGCCTTTGTTACACAAATACAACCATGAAAATAGTAGCCTCTTTAAAATAGTGCTACAACCTACACATAAAATTTACTTTAGAATTTTTTATAATTTTTTTTTTTACAATTTATTTACTTTTTTGGCCATGTGGCATGTGGGATCTTAGCTCCCAAACCAGGGATTGAACCCATGCCCTCTGCAGTTGAAGCATAGAGTCTTAACCATTGGCCCACCAGGAAATCCCTAGAATGTTTTAATTACTAAAATTTGAAGAATCTACATGAAATAATCAAACAGGACATCTTGACTGTAATACTCTTGTTCAAATAGCTAAAAATAGGGAGCAAGGCAGACCAAACCTCTAGAGTATAATGAGGAAGGACAAGAAAGGAGGTGTAATATTCTGGTTACTCAGGATAACTCTGAACTCAATAACTCAGACTGAGTATAAAGCAGATCTCTCCTGAACCACAGTCAGAGTCCTCTGGGGTCCAAAGATGAGGCTAGGTACCACTGGTCTGTATGCAAGTATGCTAAGTCGCTTCAGTCGTGGCTGGCTCTTTGTGAGGCTGTGGACCATAGCCCATCAGGCTCCTCTGTTCATGGGATTTTCCAGGCAATAATACTGGAGTGGGTTGCCATGCCCTTCTCCAGGGGATCTTCCCTACCCAGGGATCAAACCCACATCTCTTACATCTCCTGCATTGGCAGGTTAGTTCTTTACCACTAGTGTCACCTAAGCACGGTATTTGGCATGAATTAAATACTCTATAGATATTTTCTAAATGAATGCTGTAACTCAAAATAAAGGACATCATTTGTTCCTTTTACAAAAAATAACAAAATATGTTATCTACTGTGTACAAAGCTCAAATTTGCCTATTTTGCCTGGGATCCAACCTCTCTCAATGGTGTCACAGCAAAGCTCTGAAATGATCAAAGGGAATCTGATTTTCTTTGTTCCCTCTCTTTAAGATCAAATCTTCACATTTAACTAGATATCCAGTCCCTCTGCCTCCAGTTACTCCTTTATATAATTTTTCCAGATCATTGAGTTGTTAATAGAGCAGCTATTCCCCCCTCTTTTTCCCACTATCTCATATTTATAGTCATATTTCTGTTAAGAATGCATAATTATTTGATGCAACATTAAAAAAGCTGGGCTTACCTAATGCTGTGCAGTTATCTCCCGACTCTCCTGGGATACATGAAGGAATCACAGTTGTACTGAAGACTGCTTGAAGAAGATAGAAAACTATTTATGGAGAAAAATAAAATATATAACTAACGCTTCAAGAAAGAAACTCTGACTAGATTTCCACATAATTACAATATTTGCAGATTTCTTTGAATTATTTCAAGAATTTGATCCATCTAAACCATGAAAGAAAATAATTCATGGAAACAGGCATATCACTGAAAATAAATGAACACCCAGCCCTGTGTCCCATGGTAAAAGCCTTGGCATTACATTCAGAGTTACAAAATTGACCTGCTCTAAACATTTCACAGTAACCTTTTCAAAGACCTGGTTTTAACATCTGATTTCTTAAGAAGCTTAGCAATTGGAAAATTTCCACTGTTTTACTTCATGATGTGTTCAGAGCAATGCTCCAAAGTAGAACCTATCACAAAGAAGGCTTCAAATAAAACTCAGCTTCTATTTATGGTCACAATGAAATAGGACTCTCAACTGAAGATATATCAGTTGTTGATTTAAGTATCTAAGGTACTCTTTGTATTACACATGAAAATATTAATAGATTTTAATGAACAATGTGTAATCTAAGTAAAGTCACAACATATCTTATCCAATATGGGAAGGAATACACACACTACATGAACCATACTGAGCCTTAGAATATAGTTTCTATCAGCCATAAGAGATTAACAAGGTGTTTCACTGTGTGTCTCCACTGAAAAGATAAATGTTGGGTAACTGGCACCAGGATGACTCAAGAAGTTTGTGAACTGCATGGAAAGAATAGGAAGACTCCTTTTAACTGCAGGAAGGTTTACTGAAGAGAGTTTTACTCTTCTTCTTAGGAGTCAAGTATTTGCTCTTTAATCACTCGTTCCAGGTTATATGAGTAACTGTTACATAATAAACATTATTGGTGGTGGTGGTGGTAGTTGGCAGCAGTTGACATTTCCTCACCATGTACTATGTGTGGGCATATAGATTTTTTAAGGTCTGAGACACCAGGGCCCAAGAATACTGGAGTGGGTAGCCATTTTCTTCTCTAGGGATCTTCCTGACCCAGGGATCGAACCTGGGTATCCCACATTGCAGTACGATTCTTTGCCGTCTTAGTCATCAGGGAAGCCCATCCTTACCTATTCTAGCTCTTTAATCCACTCAGTGACTCTGAAGAAGATACTGCTGTTCTCCCCATGAGCCATATGAGAAAAGTGAGGCATAAAGAGCTTAAGTAACTTTCTTCAGAGTACACAGCAATGTTGTTCGTGGGCCACGTTACAGAATTTGGAAGCAGGCAATAACACTAGAGTATAATGGACATTACAGGGAATGAACTCAGCTAAATGTAAATGAAGCAGAGTATTTAACGCCATAAAGAGGCAACAAAGGATGGTGGAAAGGCAATCCCGGGAGAAAACCTGAGCTATGCAATTTTGGACAAATTAATTAAATTCTCTGGATCTCAGTTTTCCCAAATCTATAGAGTTTGGGGGAGAATTAAATGAAATGGGACTCATGAATATTCCATGCCATTCAATAGCTAGCTTGTTTTTAGCAGTAGTATATGTGGATAGTGCCCTCTGCTGGTCTATAGGAAGGTTATAAATCTCTCTGCACTTTGCTATTTTAAAGGATGATTATTCCATATAATAAAGAATTTTATTTTTTCACAATCAGAGGAGGTGTGTACATGCTAAGCAAACTGAGTATGATTTGGGTGAAGCATAAGCATCAGAGTTTGTAATTTCTTAATGTTTCAAACTTGACACTGATAATAATCCTGTGAAGTAGTTATATTAACCTCAATAACTGCAATGTAGTTAAATTAAATGTCTTATCCAAGACCAATTATCTAGAGATTATAGAAGATAAGGGTTAGGAGTACATCTTATGACATCAAGTCTCATAACCTTTCAGTGACTTGAAAATATCTTTTGGAAAGTTTAGAACTATTACCTCCCTGCTCCATATCTCTCCTACAATATAAATGATACTTTGATTGTCCTTACAGGGGAAAAAAAAAAATCTTCCTTAAATGACAAAAAAAAAATGGCTAAAATTTGGATTCCACTGTCAGTTGAACAAAGATGGAAAAGGATAACTTTGTCTACACATTTTTCTAGGGGTGAATTAGCTAGAGTTTTATCCAAGCCAATATCATTCTACTTCTCGATATAATTTTGCCATGAACTTTCACTCATAAAGAATCACCTCCTTTGATTTATACAATCTGCTCAACACAAGCTGGAGTTTTAAATGTGTGTTTTTACATCCCTGACATTCCTATTCCTCCACGGCTCTTCAACCGATGGGAGGAGATATTATCGATTCTCCTACTGCAAAAGGGCCAGCCAGGTCCACTGTGCAAAGGCACATTTCTCTGCAAAGGGTCATTTCTTCATTCTTTGAAGAAAGCAGCCACTAGCCTTTCCTGTTCAGAACTGCTTACAAATGCAACCTGCAACTATTATAATAAAATCCAGCTAATTGCTCTAAGGTGTTGCTTATTAGTTTTTCTTTTTTTTTTTTTTCTCAAAGGTTTTTCATATTGCTAGTTTTTCCACTGTTGGAAACTTTGTTCCAGTTGGTCAAGCCACAAGTGAAATATCTGTCTTTGTGAATTAAAGAATGTTCAGGGCAGGGCGTGCCTCCACAAAACCTGGGCTGTCCTAACCTCTGACGCTCCCTTGGCCATAGTCCATCTCTCAGGATGGTTTCTATGAGACTTGGTACAGTAATCCCACATCTGGGTATTTTACAGATGGAATTGTAAATGATTTTAAATGTAGTTCTCAAATGACAGTGTTTAGATTACACTTTCATCATAGATATATGAAGCCAATGAATACTAAGTGTTCAGTTCTTGTGTGTGCTCAGTCCTGTCTGACTCTTGGCGACCCCATGGACTGTAGCCGGCCAGGCTGCTCTGTCCATGTTATTTTCCAGGCCAGAATACTGGATTGGGTTGTAGTTTCCTTCTCCAGGGGATCTTTCCAATGACCCAGGGATAAGACATGCATCTTTTGTGTCTCCTGCACTAGCACGCAGATTCTTTACCACTAGCACCACTTGGGAAGAATTACCAAAATTGGTTCCAAATGAACTACCAAAATTGGTTCTAAATCATGTGTTCATTCACACAGCTCCACTGCTTCAAAATTGATTTTCAAGCTTTCCTCAGCTTCACATCTAGCCCAGGGCCTTGCTCAGTGGAGTAAAGGAATACTGGGGAGAGATCAAAAGATGGAAAAAGTTCACCCATGGAGAACTTTGACATCTAGCATCAACATCCAGTTATAATTCACTACTCATTAAAGCCATACAGGGACACATGCTGAAGTCCTATCTGTATAGTTCCTTAATCTTTCAGTTTTTCATGACTTTAGTGTTAGTTGAACATAATGATTTTTCTCTAGGTCAATTACAAACCTTATATTTGAGTTTTTGATCTTGACCATGGGTCCCGCTGAGAAAATATAACCCTATGATATTATTTGGATATAGAGTTTGGATAATGTCAGCATGTCAGCAGACAGACTGGTGGCCAGCCCTACAATGGTAACTAAGACACAGAGGAATTCCATGCTAAATAGTAATTTGTAAACTCAAAATTAGCCATTGGAACTTCTATGTCAATAATGTTATGGAAACAAAACTGTCTTAGGAGCCCATTATTTCTGTCCAATTTCCAAATGGGTTTCAGGAATTTAAAGCTCGCCTATTCATCTAACTTCACCTTTCAGAGATTTGTTTCAGTGAAATCTCAAATGTGCCAGCAGGAAGTGGCACCGGTGACTCACAGGATACAAATCAGCTCTACTCTGAGTCAGGGCCGAGCCTACACCTTACACAATACTGGGGGCAGCGCGTGGGAGAGGCTGAGTGCCATCACCCCAGTGGGGGCGGGGGGGGGGGCACTAAATGTCCTGGGCCCTGGGGCATTAAGTGAAAAGTGCATGCCTGACCTTCAGAAGGAATGCTAAAGGTAGAAAACGTCCTTTTTATTGCAGACGGTTTCTTTTGTCCTTGCTTCCTTCTGGCCACACCGAGGGACCATCTAGATGGAGACTGAGATTTGGTGACTGGTTAACCAAGTCTATTCTGCAATCATCAACTGCAATTCTCAGAGATAAAATGACTCTCCTGAATAACAATCAAGTCAAATAAAAATGACCCCAAATAAAATGAGATGGGTTACAGAATGAAAGGAATGCACCTTATTTTCCTAATTTAACCTTTTAGGATATTTAGACCAGAACAGCAAACTCATAATGAATCACAGTAATTGCCCAGCCCAAACAGGCAGCAAAATCCTCTTTGTTCACACTTCTGCTTGGTCACATGCCTACCTACTCACAAGACTGTTAGTTTTCTACCTTCTTCCAGGGCAGTCTGTAATTTTAGGATTTGTCTTTTTAACATCCTAGGCTTGTTAGGTCTTGTATACTTTCAAGGAGTGAATATGCCTTCATCATTTCCAGACGTCTTTTTGTCTTAAATTCCACTATTAGATAAAGTTAAAATAACTGTAAGCTCTGTTATCACATCGGACACTGTAAAGAACTACTGAAAGTACTTTCTAGTAACAGCCTATTTCTCAGAGAATAGCATATATAATAGTACATACATATAATGTACATCTGTATAGCATAAACCTTGCTTCCTACCAGCAATCATTTTCTTTCTACAGCTTTTAATGTTAACTTTACCACTAAGTATCATTAAAAAATACATGTAAAAGCCAGCAGTAACTATTTAGATAAAAACAGGATAACAGAATGAAACCAGAGGTTGATATAATGACAGGTTACAAATAAGTCTTTAATTTTGAATTTCAAAATACAGCCATAAGATCTTCCTTGTCAAGTGTCAAGAAAAGATGTAATAAATAGGCCATAGTTTTCAGTTCAGAGACATTAAATAACTCTTCAGTTCTGGCAATAATTTCTAAAGCATACTTCAAATTGCTCATTTATTTTAGTTATCATACAATACTATACTTAAAACTATTCAAATCAAGAATCGTGTGTCAAAATATGAAAGTAGAGCTTATT